CGCATTCCACCAAGTCTGACTGTATTCCCAGCTAGGGCCTGTCATGTGCTGGGGAATTAGAAACGGTGTGAGGTGGCCTTGGAGCCACCACAGGTCAACAAGGAAGAAGTCAGCTTAACACAAAACATTGAGAGGACTTATGGGATCATTTCCTAAACTCGAACGACTTAGGTTGTGGTCATGCCCCATGTGGTCATTTTCCCAGGGTGGTTGTTCTGGCTGAAGTAGACTAGCTTTCTTGGATGCGGTGCATATTCTCGGCCTACAAAAGCCATTTGTCTGAAACAATTCTTTGTGTAAAATTAAGGTTGTAGTTACAAATATCCCTGTCCCCATGCCTCCTGCCTTTGCACAGCCATTTCTGTGGCCTAAAATGCCTGCCTCTGCCTTGACTCCAAGGCATGCTTCTTCCTAAGACTTCGCTCTTACTGCAGCTGAGCTGACCCTATCTTATTACATTCCCCTTCAATTGGGAGCTCTTGAGCTTGGGGTCTTGTTTTTTCAGTGAGTACCTGGTGTCTAGCTCAGTAAGTATTTGTCAAACGAATGTGCAGTTGCCCTATATTTACAACCACAATGTCATATCTGAAAAGGATTTAGAGATCTAGTCTAAGCCATGCCTTTACAGATGACAAAACAGAGGCCCATACAGATTGTTTCTCCCAGACCACACAGCTCCTTTGTGAGAGCCTGACTGGCAACTCTGCTCTCTTTAATTCCAGTGTTCCCAAACCCTATTCCACTGTGCTCAGCTAAATTGATTTCTACCCCATGAAAGAACGTTCTTGCTGATGGGCTAACAAGAAAATAAATTTCTAACTGGCAGTCACTTAGAGTAGCATAAACCCTGCCTCAAGGGTAGTAACATGAATATCTCTCCTACAGAGATGTTTACCCAGCAATTAAAAGAAGCTCAGCTGACAAAAGAAGGTATAAATCCTCTTAACATTAGCCAGAGCTGGTCAATTCACATTCTGAAGAGGAAAAGTTTCCGAGAGAGGGGAGCAAAGGTAGACTATCTGATGGACTGTCATCAAAAATTCACTGCCTGTAAAATGGGTTTTGAGTATTGTTTAAACAGCCTTGAAAATGTTCCTGAGTGGACAGTAGGAGTGCGAACTTTCTCCGCTTCCTCAAGAAGAGACAGTACTAGATGCCTCCTGCTATCAAGAGGAAAGAAGAAACTAATTTCTGCTATTAATCTGCTACGTGAGAAACAGAAAAAGCCAACACAGCAGTTTCTCAGCTGCCTTCTGCTCATTGGGCTACATCATAACCCCTCACCCCTCTTCAGCCTGGCCTAGTGAAGAGTCAGAGTGGTTTGGCCTCAGGGCCAGAGCCTCTCTTATTTCTGGAGCTGTGCCCTCTCTCTTCGGAGGGACAGTAAATAAACTTTGCCCTTCTATCTGTGCTAAACTTTAAGAAATCTTTCTCACCCGTGTGTGGACTTCACACCCTAACAGCATGATGCTTACAAATTGCTCCAATCACTGTACATAAGTTGTCAATGTTTATAAGTCTTCTCTTTGGGACACAAAGATGATAAAGTAGGGGCACCAGCCTTATGTTGCTTCAAACCCAGTTTAGGAGATAAGCAAGGAACATTGAGTAAATTGTTCATTCGCTCATCCATTCATTAGATTCAGAAAGTATTTATTATGTGCCTATCACCTGCCTAGGACATGCAAGCACTCCTCCAGGGCACTGGGGATACAGCAAGGAACAAAACAAGTCCCTGTTCTTACGAGCGGGGAAGGAGAGATGATAACAAATAGATAAACAGAAATATGTGAAGTGGTGATTAGTGCTATGAAGAAAAATGAAGCAGCATAGGAGGATAAGGAGGGCTGCTATTTAGGTAGGGTACTCAGGGAAGCCTTGCCCCTCTCTGAAGAGAGGATATTTGAAGAGGGAACAAGTCATGTGCCTCCTCGAAGGAAGAGTATTTTAGATAAAAGAACCAGTAAGTGCAAAGATGCTGAGGGAGAAATGTGTTTGGTGGGTTCAAGGAGCCTGGAGCAAAGCAACCCAGGGGAAGAATGGCAAGGGGTACGGTTAGCCAGGAGGCTGGGGCCACATCACAGGACCTTGGAGGTCATTGTAAGGATTTGGGCTTTTACCCAGAGTGAGTTGGGAGGGAGCCAATGGAGGGTTTTGAGCAGAGGAGTGACATAATCAGATTTATGTGATAAGAGGCTCTCTATTGCATTGAGAATAGGCTGAAGGCATACGAGAGTGGAAACAGAGAAGATGTGAAGGAAGCAGGAAGAGATACGAGAGATAATAGTGGTTTGTTCCAAAGTGTGGGTGGTGGAAGCAGAAAGAAGTGGTCAGATTCTCGATATATTTTGAAGGAATAATTGCAGGCTCTGCTGGTGAATTGGATGTGGGCTATGAGAGAAAACAGAAATCAGGGAGGTAATTTAGACCATGTACAAAGAAGGTCCAGGAAGGATTTCAGCAAATTGAGGGCACAACAGTGCTCGTGCATCTCGGCACTCAATACCTCATTTCTTCACTCCTGGTGCAGCCCCTTTAGGCTCTTGGGTTCCCAGAAGAATAATTGACAAGACTGAAAGGAAGAAGGGAGGTCCATGGAGGCAGGGAGGCTCAAAGGCAGCACTGAGATTTGTCAAATGAGACAGCAAGAAGATCCTAGGAGGATTCAGGTATCTAGATTTGATCATGTCAGTGAGCCACTGAGGGTTTATAAGAGTGAAATGACAGGAAGAAGTCTGGAAAGCTAGTCAGGTGTCATGTGCAAGGGAGAAGCTGGAGGCTGTGATAGTCAGGTAAGTGGTGACCTGGGTTGGAACTAGTCTGGTGGGAGTAAGTGTACAGAAAAGTACATGACAAGTGGCCTTGTGAAGAAAGAATTTCCAATTTGGTGGCAAAATGAACACAGGGGATAAGGGAGTGTTAGCAGATTTGGAGCCCTCAAATCTCAGCGAAGAGGGTGTTGGTGACATGGTAGTCTAGGCCAGATTGCCTTTCTCTTTATAAGATGGGGTCTCACTACATTGCCCAGGCTGGTCTTGAACTCCCAGGCTCAAGCAATCTTCTCGCCTCAGTCTCCTGAGTAGCTGGGAATACAGGTGCACACCACCATGCGCAGCTCCGGAGTCTTTTATGGGGCTCAGGTAGAGCGAGGAATCCAGTTTGGGAGTTCCCTTCTGTTGGGGTGACAGTACACTTCATGCTGGGGGAAGAGGCACCACTGATATGTCTCCACAGAGACAGGGGCAGCAGATACAGGTTCGGCAGCTCTTCTCTCTGCTCTCAGACCCCAGGGCCTCTAGACCATAGTTTCAGGTCAACCTCAAGTGTCTTCTGTTCATTTAGACCTCAGTCCAGAGCCTAATCCCAGGCCTACTGTTGAGGCCCAAATCAGAGGCCACTAGCAAAGAACTGTGAAGCCCAGATTTTCTCACATGAAGCTGGTGGCTACAGTGCCTGACTATAGGCTCAGTGGCCCTCTTAGTGGCTGACCCCAACCCTCTCCCTAATCTTGGTTGCCTAGAGAGTACCTCTCCATAGACTGCCAGGCCTAGAACCCACAGAGCCCAGGCAGCTTCCTCGTCAGAACCCGTGGGCAGCGGGGAGGAAAGGGGCCTGGAGCTGTCCGCAGGGAGAGAAGCCAAGTGCTCTGCTCCTAAGTTTACATCTCTACAACTCCCAGGACCCCTGCCAACTTCTTCTCTCAAAAAATCAGATACTGATTACTCTTTCAGTAACATTTTATTTTAAATCCTTAGTGAAGATCTAAGAGGAAAATATAAAGTGCTTGGCTTTAGAGTTGGGGATTAGGGGAAAAGGGAAAGGCCCCCTGAGTTCATACTATTTGGAATTTCCCAGTTCCTCAGAGATGAAAGACAGTTTACCTCAAAGATTTTTTTACAAAAAAATAAAAAAATTATCCTTGAGTTCTCCACCAGCCAGCGTGCGTGAAGAGCTCAAGGACATAACTATCACAGTCAACCACTGAGAATTATCACAAAGGAAGCGGGTTGGTCAACAGGGTGGAGAATGAGTCTATTTCAAAGGAGATAGGAGGAACAGAGAGGTGAGGTGGAAGGTGGGTCCCCAGGCTCTACATCAGGGACAGAATGGCTGCCTGTTCCTCTGAAGTCTCCTCCAGTAAGTGTCGGGCAAAGGCCTGCTCCATCTGTACGGAAGAGATGGGGAAGAGGGTATCAGTCAGTGCAGCCAGGGAGGACACTACCCGAGGAGCTGCTTCTCTGCCTGGAGACCCCTTCCTCTCCTGGAACACCACTGTCCCCACCCCCATTAGACAGGCTACTCTGCCTCTGCTCTGAACTTACCCGCACTGTGATAAGATTCTGTGACATATAGCTGGGGCCAGGGCTCTCCTCCCAGAAATTCAGTGTTACCTGGAACTTGGGTTGGGGGCCCAGGCCCTGGAGGTAATTGGCCAAGTCTGAAAGAGAAAGGGTCAAGGGTTAGAAGAAAGAAAAGACGGTTTCAAATTCAGCATTAGACCCTCTTAAAGGTTCTTCAGTCAACCCACCATCAGATTTAAAAAAAAAAAAAAAACGAAGAAAAGAAAAGAGAGGAGAGGGCCATAGGCAGGAGGCAATAGTGAGGAATCCATGATGGAGGCGGGGAGCACATGCAGACCAAGGCCAGTGCAGGAGCCACAGGGTTAGGAGAGATGTCGGAAGCTAAGTGCTACTCAGCCATGTACAAACAGGAACGGGTGCCCCTTCCTCTAATAAGAAGTGTTTAGAGTAGCAGATTACAGTACAGCTTGAAAAGCTCTCCCCTGGGAGAGTCCTTACTGGCAGCAGCCCTGGCTGCTAACACCGAAGTGCCTACATCTTTGCTGCTTGCTCATACCTCCCAGTGCTAGGGTGCCCCTGGCCCTGGGAACACCCACACTCTGCACCCCCTATATTCCTGGCCCCACTCCTAAGGTCGGATCTGGAGTTGAGTGGGGGCTGGAACTGGAACTGCAAGAGTAGACAGGAGTGAGGGGCAACCCTAGGGGATGCCTAGAGTGTGGCAGAGACAGGGTGTGGTGGGGCCAGGGGTGTGACGTGCACCAGCTCTCTCAAACGTGTGGATGGCTGTGTGCCAGTGTGTATGTAGAAGAGGGCCATGAGCCTCAAAATCTCTGTGCCGACTTGTCTATGCACCTTCACATAACTAGTACATGCTTCAATGTGATGCTGCTCCCCATAAAGTGACATTCTTATCCTGGACTCCACCTGAACCTCATCTTCATGGCCTTGGCTGGGGAAGGAGAGCTGCCAGGTAGCTGCCAGGCTGAGTGTATGGCCACACAGGATGTGCACCACACAAGAGCAGGGGGGCCACGCACAGACCATGATTGAGGATCCGCTGACAGACGGGCAGTGGCAGGACCCACCAAGTAGGGCTCAGGAGGTACTAAGAGGTTGGTGGGCTCAGGTGCCCAGCAGGAGCAGCCTCACCTCTGCAGAAGGACGCGGTTCTGAAGAGCTCCACACACTCGTTGCTGGGCAGCAGATGTGGGCCTGGCCCAGGGGGGGCCTGCGGTGCATTCCATGAGATCGGGATGGGGCAAAGGCGCTGCACAAAGAGGCCTCGGGAGTTGCTTGCCACCAGGACACCTCTCTCAAGCTGGCTCAGCAGGCGCTGTGTGGGCTCCAGTGGGTCAGGCTTGGGAAACACCACTTGCTCCATGCTGCTCTCAGAACCTGAGGGCTCAGCCACAAGGCGGCAGTCCAGGCTCTGCACCTGGGCCTTACCCACCACGCGCCCGCTGTAGATGAAGGTGAGCAGCAGCGAGTAGTCTGGGGATAGAAGAGCCCAGCTGCACCTGGTGCTGGAGGAGCACACAGGCTGTCAGCAGCCCCCCTCTCCCCAGGGGTACACTCACCAGGGTGCCCCCTCACCAGCCAGGGGCTTCCTGTTAGGCTTTCCTATCACTCAGGAGAGTAACCAATACGGTGATTCACCCTGAGGCCTCAGGGCTTATGCCCAGGGTCTTGGAGTTTGCAAGAAGGTCCCTGGAGACTGGGCCTCTATTTAGCCCAAAGAAATCAATGTCTTACTGTATATCTCCAGGAAACAGAATGTGTAGGGTGGTATTTTTGAGAAGCAAGCCTTCTGGTATCTGGACAGACAAGTGGAATTCTCACTGCCTAGAAACCTGTGCTTCAGTCTATGGTAAGGTGGGCTCAGTTACTGCAGGCCCTGACTGCCTAGACAAGGCAAACATAGTCAAAGGGAGAAGACTCAAGGGGAACAGGGGCCAGGAAAGAGTTAGAAATGTCAAGTACCTGACTCCGGAGGGAGCAGAAACTCCGGAGACACCTGATCCCCTTGAAAGGGGGCCCCAGTTGTGTCTGCACCTGGAAAGGAGGCAAAGGCACTGGTCATTCAGAGTGGGACTGGGGAGTCCCTAGAGCCAGAGGGTATGACATAGGGGATGACACAAGAGACAGGGGAGATGGTACCTTCCTGTGGCTCAGGACTGTGGCTGCTGCTGCTGCTGCCGCTGCTGCTGCTGCTGCTGCTGTCTGAATGGGATGATCCCCCAGTGGCTCCTACCTCTTCCTGCGGACACAGAGTCTGTTGCTGGCCCACCTCTCTCTCTCATTACCGTCCTGCACTCAGGCCCATCCAGTTCCCTCCCCAGCTCTCACATTATCAAGGGGGTCCTGAAACAAGGAGGGACTGTGTACGCAGTTCTTCATGGCACCCTCTTCCTCCTCCTTCTCAGAGGACACAGAACTGTAGCGTCGCTTTGATGGTGATTTCTGGGTTCCTGGTTGGGCTGTGGAATTGTTGACAGCGAGAGAAAGGTCAGGGACTTAAACAGGCACAGAAGGTAAGGGAGAGGTGTGAGGCAGGGAAAGGATGGGCAGGACGAGGAGGGGAAGCCTGGGGAGCAGCTGCCCAAGGGCAGGGACAGGGCAGAACCCTGAGGGGCCCCAGGGAGGATCACATCTATATCCTTCCTCCCCAGTCTGCTGATTCCAGGAGTCGCTGGGCAAGGGGACACTCACAAGAGAGGGTTCCTGGCGGTAGTAGCCGATACACCTTATAGGGCTCAGCAACATCCATACGGCCATTCTCAGGAACCTCTTCAAATTCGGGACTCTTGTTGAGGGCACAGCGCAGGCGAGTCTTCCAGGCAGCAGGGCCTCCTGTGTCCCCTTCCTTGTACTTTCCCTTAAATATTGCCCAGGCCTAGGAAAGAGAGGAAGGGAAGAGGCAGAGTGTTACAGACCCCAACTGCCTCTCCAACAGGGCCGCCCTTCGTGGGCATGTGGCCTGAGCACTCACAAAGGCCCTGAACTCAGCAGGCTCGTGCTGGGTTTCTGCTCTGCTGCTGCCATCTTGAAATCCTAATTTTTAAATGAGGCCTCCCTCCACATTTTTGTTTTGCACTGGGCTCTACAAATGATGCAGCTGGGCCTACTCTCCTTTATCTGAAACCCAGGCAGACGCAAGCCCTTGAGGGTAAGTGCACCAGTGTATACTCCATCTCTCATTTGGAGGGGATGGTGGTTTCCAGGCCCTTTCACCTTGAAGAAGGCAGCATCTTGGTCCTCACGGAAGTCCTGCTTGCCTGCATGCTTCCAGGGAATCCGGAACATGGTCTTAGCTGTATCGTGCCAGCACACCCCTGGGAACTGCCCGCTCTCCACTTGTTCCACCACCCAGTTGCGGAGTTTTCGGGTACAGCGCACCCTGCCTGATGCCATCCTGGGGGATGAGAGGAGCACAAAGCATCAGAACTACTCTTTGGGAGGGAACATCTCCTGAGACCCTGGCTGCTGGGGCTGGATTCTGACAATGGGCTCCAGAGACCCCAACTATCTTTTTGGCTCCAGACACATCTCAACATTCTCTGAGGCAGAACTGTTTTACTCTGCCATCATTAGCAACTACAAAAAAAAAAAAAACCCAAAACATTCTTTTTAACATTCCAAGCTGTGACATCTAAAAGGAAACCTTAGGCATTGGTCTTAATTTTAGAACTTTTCAGGAATATAACACTTGGGAGAGAATTCCCCTGGTGTTCTGTTCCTAGTGAGAGGCCCTGTCTACACTCCCAAGCACTTGCAGAGGCAGTATCTGCTTCAGAGACGCCTCAGCCCTCTTCGAACACCCTCCAACCTACACAACCACAACCTATCCTTTGACTCCCATCCCTCTCCTCTGCTTGCCCTAAGGGTAGGTGGGTTAGGAAGCTGGGGCAGGGGTGGAGCTGCACCGTAAGTGGGCAGGGCCAGGAAGCAAACAAACAGGTTCAGTTGAGGCTGGGGCAGAGCCTTCCTCTCTGAGCAACCCAGCAGGCCTTCCTGTCCTTTTCCCATAGGGCCTGAGACACTGGCCCTTGTCAGTCTCTCAATCTCACTCTCAGGCCAAATCTCCTGCTTCCTGACTCACAGGCCTCTATCCCTCAGTCTAGCAGAGAAGACCCCAGGAGTCCCCACCCCCCACCTCCAATCTGGTTGGCCCTTCCAGCCCTAGATCCCATGCTCATTCTCCTCTTTGGCTGATCTTACCTGAGCTGCTGTCCAGTCCGTCCCAGGGCTCGGAGAACCTCAGCTTAGTTCCTTGGCTAGGCGGCTTCGTAATCTCTCCGCCCCTTCCTATAGTCCCCGCCCTAAGTTTCAGTTCTCCTCCAGGGAGGTCCGGTTCCCAGAAATCACGTGGTCTCAAGAGTTGCAGGGCAGCCCGTCGCCACCAGGGGGAAGCAGCATCTGACAACCTCACTGTCAGCAGCAAGAGGACCGGGCTCTGCCGGGCTGGCTCCTGGCTCCTGTCTTGCTATCCCTTGCTATCGGGTTCCCCTTCCTCCCTCACACACTCTTTGCTCATATGTGACCTCTATGTGACACTGTGGCTTCCCTAGGGAGGTCATAGTTTGCTGGAGTCTGGCCTGGGGCCTCTGGATTGCTACGTATACCTGTGCATCTGTGTTTCCTCACAGTGCCTGCTTGGTACATATTAGGTGACCCAAATACCAGCCGAATTTGATGAAAGGAAGAAGGCGGTGTGGGAGGGAGCCCAGACTAGGTGGCTGGATGGCGAGGGCCTCCCTTGCCCATCTGCAGTGTCAATTCCTTCCTGGCCAGGAATGAGTCCAGGATGGGTCAGGCAGTAAGCTTCAGGGGTCCCTTTCGGCAAAGCTCTGTTCACCCCCCTTTCCCTGGTGCCCCGAGATGGTGGGGCCAGGAAGAAGGACCACCAAGAAGCCTGGGCAATAAGATGCTTCTTTATTGGTGCTGGAGCTGTTCCTGAGGGAGTCGGGCCACAGGACCCTCATCAGGACCCTTGCCCCGGCTACTTCCTCCTGCGGGGGATACTCTGTCCCAAGGGCACCTCTTCTGTCAGCTTCTGCAGAAGGAGAAAGAAGGTAATGATATTGGAAGCCTGGAGCTCAGACTCAGCCTGGGGCAGGTGACTTATGGAGGATGGGGTCAGAGGCAAGGCTGGGTGAAGGCTATACCTGTAACAGGCGGGCGTGGTAGGCAGGGGCATCCTCTCCAGCCAATGGCTGGGGGCGCACGTGCAGGTAGCGCTCAGTGGCTGTTTCCAGCTCCTCAACCTCATACAGGGAGGCTGGGTCCAGTGAGTGGGCATTGATGAGGCTCACAAGATACTCTTTGTAGTGTGCCCTGGGGAGATAAGGTAGCAGCACACTTGTTCTTCTGTTGGCTAATATTAACTGAGTGTGCCCAGTCAGTCCATGGCTGGGCACTGGGATACTCAAACAAGAATGACAAGCCCTGCCTATTGCACCTGTAGGCAGCGCCAACCTGTGCACATTGCCTGCTACTACCTATCCATGCCCTTGCCCAGAGAGCCCCCTCCCTCGTACTCCTTGCAGGACCTACTGCTCTCAGAGACCCACTTTACTGTCTGGGTATGCCCTCACCATTCCCGCCCCAATGCCCAACACCATGCTCCATGTCCTGCCAGCACTCACTGGCAGAGGCCGGCATAGCCAGCTGGAGTTTCCTTGCCACAAGCTTCGTCCCTGAGCCCATTGGGAACCTCTTTCTGCTCCATCACTCGGCAGCCACCTATGGGTGAGAGAAGAAAGGACCCTTTGTTGGGAGGAGGCCACTGACCACAAAGCCCCAGGAGAACTGGAATATCCATGGAGCAGGGAAGGTAGCCTCCAGGGAGGGGACTGAGCACAAGAATTCCTGCTCTCCCAGTGGTGGATACTTAGAGATACCATCAGCAGCAAATACACTCTGATACATAGGCAGGGACCTTGTCCCTACTTTTATCTAAGCTGGCTTTTGGCTCATAAACACATATTCCCTTGAGATGGCTCTTTTGGTTGTTATTTAGCTCTTTCATAGTAAACTTACCTCTATTTTCTTTTCTTTTTTTTTTTTCTGAGACAGAGTCTCACTCTGTTGCCTAGGCTAGAGTGCTGTGGTGTCAGTCTGGCTCACAGCAACCTCCAACTCCTGGGATAAGCGATCCTACTGCCTCAGCCTCCCGAGTAGCTGGGACTACAGGCATGCGCCACCATGCCCAGCTCATTTTTTCTATATGTATTTTAATTGTCCAGCTAATTTCTATTTTTAGTAGGGATGGGGCCTCGCTCTTGCTCAGGCTGGTCTGGAACTCCTGAGCTCAAACGATCCACCCGCCTCGGCCTCCCAGAGTGCTAGGATTACAGGCATGAGCCACCGCACCCAGCCTTTACCTCTATTTTCTAAAAATAATTTTTAAAAAATTTATTTTAAAGACTACAGCACCTGGTATTCCCAGGCTATCTCCCATCCAAGTACTAACCAGGCCCTAACCTGCTTAGCTTCTGAGATCATATGAGGTCGGGTACATTCAGGGTGGTATGGCCACAGGCTTACCTCTATCTACACTGTAAGAAGTAGGATAGATTAGAACCACATATGACACCTTTCTGTTGCCCTCATGGAACCTAAAACAGTGCCCTGCAACTAGCAAGTCTCATTAAATATCACAGAGTTAATTCATGAATCATCATTTGGGAATGGATAAAAAAATTAGTATTAAGGGCTTCATGGGTGCCAGGTGCTTTACTGATGTCTTATGTAACCTAGCTCAGCTACAAGGTGCATATTACCTCACTGTACAGAGGGAGGCCCCGGGAGGTTGATTAACTTGTCAAAGGGCACATACCAAGTAATGCTAGACCCAAGGGTGCCCTTTCCCATCACACAGCGGGAGCCCAGCACACCACCTCCCCTTCTCAAAGGCTTGTTCCAACACTCACCTCCAGGGACTGCCCGGGCCCCAGCTGGAGGCTCTGTATTAAACATGACGTTATTGTCCTAAGGAGGAGCAGAGACAGATGGGCATTATGTTCCCCCTGATGCTAGTCCCTTCTGCATTTCCCAGCACACAGCCTTTTCCATTGCCCAGCCTGGGCCCTGCCTTCCTCTCCTGGGCAACCCGCAAACCCAGCTGGGTTGGCCACCTCTGACCTGTAGCAGCTTTTGGAGCCGAGGAGCAGTCCAGTCCCTCAGGTAGAAGAGGCAGTCTCGAGGGTGATGGCCGTGAAGGGACTTTTTCACCCTGCAGTTAGGGTCTGGACATTTCTGGCGGAAACCCAGATGGGAGAGGGGAAGTTGGAGACTGTTGGGGTCCTGGCCTCTCAGGAACCCCTGTGTGAGGGGTGTAGGGGTTGGGGGAGATGGAGACACTGGAGGGTCTGGAGTGAGCAAAGGGGGAGAGGGGACAGAGAGAGGTGCTTTACATCCCACTGACTTCCTCTTCTCTTCCCCTGGGCTGCTCAATGGCCTTTGCCCCTCAAACCCAATGGCAGCCCCCGACCCTTCTAGCCCTTCCACATCCTCTGGGCTCCGGCTCACATTCTTGGCGTAAAAGGCATTGTAGCAGCCACTGCAGAACTGGTGGCGGCATTGGGTGCAGTGAAAGTGCATGCAGCCTCCTCGGGCCAGTGCGTACGAGAACTTGCACTTGGGACAATCTGCAAGGGACAGGAGGTCAGGGCTGGGGCTGCCACTGCAATTCAAGGTCCTCAGAAAGAGAGCCTCTGGCAATGACAGAATACTGAGCAAACAGATCAAGGGGTGGGGTGGGCAGGCTCACCAATGCCATTTTCCTGAAGATACATTGCCAGGCCCTGGGCCTGGTATTCTGGGTCATTGGTGCGTTTCCAGTTCTGGAAATCCTCGCAGCTCCGACCTCGGTGCTGCTCCTCCCACTGCCAGAGGGAAAGTAGGCTTCATGTGGAAGGTCCATCCCATGCCCTGGCCCTTCTTGCTGGTCCTCCACTCCATTCAGTGGTCCCCAACTTAGTTTATGTCATTGTCATCTGCCATTTGCTCAGACCCTAAACTGAGGGGCTATCCTTGGTTCTTTCATTTCCTCATACTACCCCATACTCATTAGCAAGTCTTGTTTCTACTACCCAAGCCCATCCCAACCCTGTGCCCCTGCTGCTACCACCTTACTCCAGGCCATCATCAGAACTTGCCTTAGTTATAGTCTCTCTGCTTCCCACTCCTGCTCCCCTACTACCCATTCTCCCTATTGCAGCCAAAAGCCCTTCAAAAGTGTAAGCCAGGGGGGGAGGGGGGGACAAGGGCAACATATGTAACCTAAACATCTGTACCCCCATAATATGCTGAAATAAAAAACAAACAAAAAAAACACTTACAACCTATTAAAAAAAAAAAAAAAGTGTAAGCCAGGTAGCTTGAACAGTATTGGTGGTAATCTAGTTTTGAGGTTTGGGGTTGGGGTCTGTGTTCATTTTATTATGTTTCATAATGTAGATGAAATTTTTTTGGTATCAAACAATGAACTTCTTAAAAGACAAATGAAACAGTATTGCCCCTTGCTTCATCTCAGAATGAAGACTAACACCTGCCTCACTTGGCCTTCAGGGCTGTCCTGATCTGGCAGCTGGTTCCTCTCTGACCACCTGTCACCTTCATCCCTGCTCTCTAGGCTCCAGTCACACACCACTTTTTTCTGACTTTGGCCTTTCCATGTGTTGTTATTTCTGTCCCAAATACTCTTTGCGTGGCTGGCTGGCTTCTTAACTTTCAGGCCTGAGCTTAAATTACCCCATTTTAAAGAGGACTTGTCTGACCTCCCTACCCTAAGTAGGTCCATTCTGTTATTCTTCATCTCAGATTCCTTTCTTCATGGAACTTATGCCTATGTAAAATTAGTTCCTCCCTCCTTCTCTCACTTTTTTTCCTTCCTTCCTCCCTCCCTTCCCTTTCCTTGCTCTTTCTTTCTCACTCAATTCTTCCATTTCTCCCTATACCTGTCTCCCTGCCTAGAGTTCATGTCTGTTTTGCTTTCCAGTACTCAAGCTCCCCTAAGTCTAACACAGTACCTGGGAGTAGCTCAGCAAGTACTTCTGAAAGTATGAATGTGCCTCACCTGGCGCTTGCAGCGCACACAGAAGGTCTGGTGACACTGGGGACATGTTGCCTCCAGCTGTTCACGCTCATATATGAAGCCAAAGGAACACTGTAAGTGCAAGAGCATAGCTTTACAGCTATCCGAGGCCTAGCCTGGTGCCCTCCCCTGCCCCTTCATATTTAGCTCCTCTGGGCAGGCCACTTACCTTGGCACACCACAGGAACTTAGGGTCCCGCATCAGCACACGCTCAGTCAGCTTTTTATGGAACAACGCGTAGGCATCTGGCTCTAGGCTCTCCCGAAGCTGGGGACAGGGTACAGAGGCA